CCTACACCCACGTCTGCCCCACGTCTGTCCCACTGCACGGGCTCGATCCCCACAGCACTATTCCCTCCCCCGGCCCCATACCCTCTTCCTCCCCCACCCCCTCTTTCGCACCTCTACCAGCTTTTCGCTGATCTCGCCCACTGCAGATTTTCGTGTTTTGGTATTGGCAAAGCAACAGAACCGCGGAATTCGGTGGCAGAGTAAGTGGAGAAACAGAAACACAAATTCCGGAGGCAGATGATGCGAGTGAAGAGGAAGGATGGGTCTTCAGCTGCTACTAGTGGCGGCTCGGCGACCGATAGTGGAGCCACAGGCTTCCAAATTCCTATGAGTCACGCGATGTTGGCGAGATCAGCGACCCGGTGGAAGCGCAACAGGAGGTGGAAGGGAGAAAGAGGAGAGCGAGAAGGAGCTTCCGATCTGAGGCAGCAGCCGCTGTGGCTGGCAGGCGACAAGACAAGGGGGAGCGGGAGGGAGGGCGAGAGGAGGGTGAAGGGAGGCTGCTGATGGGGCTGACGGAGCCAATGGAGGAAGCCTTTGGCGCAACTGACAATGGGAGGGGCAGTATAGCCAAGCTGAGAGCCTGTGAGGGGTGAATATGTGCATTACGTCGGTGAGGGGTCTCTCTCTGTTTGGTAGGGGCGTGTGTGAGAGTCACTCAAGGAAGCAGTGAAAAGGGGGTGAAGGGGGGAACTGTTGAAATGGGATGGGGGTTGAAGAGGGTTTGAAAGGACGCTGAAGGATGTGTGGGGTGGTAACAATGGGATGCAAGGGCACGGAGGGGGTTGACAAGGGGGACATTGCCAAGGTTTGAGTGGGCGGGGGCCAGGGGGGTGCATGTAGGAGTTACTCGCCAGCAGGGAAGTGGGCTAGTTATGGGTCACCAGCAGGTCAGTAGCAGCGAGGCTGGTGCTGGTAGTCTGCTTCATGAAAATGGATGTATGTGCTGAGAGGGGCGTGGGCTGCCTATGGGTCAGTGGCAGGTGAATCCCAGGTCAGTGCCAGGTCAATACCAGGTTGAAAGGAGATCAGTGGGTGACAGGTCAGTTGCAGGTCAATAGAAATTTCAGCAACTCTCAGGTCAGGTCAGTCTCAGGTCAGTGTCAGGTCAGTTTTAAGTCAGTGTCAGGTCCGTTTCAAGTCAGTGTCAGGTCAGTTTCAAGTCAGTGTCAGGTCAGTTTCAAGTCAGTGTCAGGTCAGTTTTGAGTCAGTGTCAGGTTAGTTTGAAGTCAGTGTCAGGTCAGTTTCAAGTCAGTGTCAGGTCAGATTTAAGTCCGTGTCAGTTCAGTTTTAAGTCAGTGTCAGGTCAGTTTTAAGTCAGTGTCAGGTCAATTTTAAGTCAGTGTCAGGTCAGTTTCAAGTCAGTGTCAGGTCAGTTTCAAGTCAGTGTCAGGTCAGTTTTCAGTCAGTGTCAGGTCAGTTTTAAGTCAGTGTCAGGTCAGTCTCAGGTCAGTGTCAGGTCAGTTTTAAGTCAGTGTCAGGTCCGTTTCAAGTCAGTGTCAGGTCAGTTTCAAGTCAGTGTCAGGTCAGTTGTGAGTCAGTGTCAGGTTTGTTTGAAGTCAGTGTCAGGTCAGTTTCAAGTCAGTGTCAGGTCAGATTTACATCCGTGTCAGATCAGTTTTAAGTCAGTGTCAGGTCAGTTTTAAGTCAGTGTAAGGTCAATTTTAAGTCAGTGTCAGGTCATTTTCAAGTCAGTGTCAGGTCAGTTTCAAGTCAGTGTCAGGTCAGTTTTTAGTCAGTGTCAGGTCAGTTTTAAGTCAGTGTCAGGTCAGTTTTAAGTCAGTGTCAGGTCAGTTTCAAGTCAGTGTCAGGTCAGTTTTAAGTCAGTGTCAGGTCAGTAGTAAGTGAGTGTCTGGGAGGTCTCAGGGAGGTCTCAGCTTCTTGCTTGTCTCTCGCTTCCCTCTTCCCAAATAGGTGGTGAGCAGAGGGGCATGGGAGTGGGGCGGATGACAAGGCAGTGAGGCGGAGTGAGGGATAGGGCAGTGAGCTGATTTGTAGAAAGGGGAAGTGAGGAGGGGGGACGGGTTGTGGTTACGCTCTCCCCACCCTACCTCCTCTGGGCCCTTGGGCTGCCACGGTGGTGAGTGAAGGGGCGGGTGGTGGAGGATGGTGGATGGTGGATGGTGGATGGTGGATGGTGGATGGTGGATGGAGGATGGTGGATGGTGGACGGTGGATGGTGGATGGAGGATGGTGGATGGTGGATGGTGGATGGTGGATGGTGGATGGTGGATGGTGGATGGAGGATGGTGGATGGTGGATGGTGGATGGTGGATGGTGGATGGTGGATGGAGGATGGTGGATGGTGGACGGTGGATGGTGGATGGAGGATGGTGGATGGTGGATGGTGGATGGTGGATGGAGGATGGTGGATGGTGGATGGTGGATGGTGGATGGAGGATGGTGGATGGTGGATGGTGGATGGTGGATGGTGGATGGTGGATGGTGGATGGAGGATGGTGGATGGTGGATGGTGGATGGTGGATGGAGGATGGTGGATGGTGGATGGTGGATGGTGGATGGATGATGGTGGATGGTGGATGGAGGATGGTGGATGGTGGATGGTGGATGGAGGATGGTGGATGGTGGATGGTGGATGGAGGATGGTGGATGGTGGATGGTGGATGGTGGATGGTGGATGGTGGATGGTGGATGGAGGATGGTGGATGGTGGATGGTGGATGGTGGATGGTGGATGGTGGATGGTGGATGGTGGAAGGTGGATGGTGGATGGAGGATGGTGGATGGAGGATGGTGGATGGTGGATGGTGGATGGTGGATGGTGTATGGTGGATGGTGGATGGAGGATGGAGGATGGTGGATGGTGGATGGTGGATGGTGGATGGTGGATGGTGGATGGTGGATGGTGGATGGTGGATGGAGGATGGTGGATGGTGGATGGTGGATGGAGGATGGTGGATGGTGGATGGTGGGGCACACATGGCGCAGGTGACTGGGGCTCACATGGGTGTCGACACCCACCGGAGGAGTATGGGTGGTGGAAAATGGGTGAGTGGGGGTCACATGGGTGGGTGGGGGTCACATGGGTGAGTGGGGATCACCACCCTATCATACCCCACCGCGCAGCACCACCCTATCATACCCCACCACACACCACAACATTATTCCCCACCGCACACCCCACCGCATCACACAGCAAACAGGCTCTGACAGCTGCTGGCAGCTCGGAACGCACCTGACGCGTGGAACGCATGGTGAAAGAGGGAGCTGCGCTGCCCCGTGGCAGCAGCTGATTCGATTGGATTGACAGCAGGGAGTGGAACGGTGTGAGGTGAGACAATGAGGGGCGATGTGGAGAGAGCAGTGGAGGGGAAGTGGAGCAGGCAGAGGAGGGTGCTGTACACGCTACAGTGACGGAGGCTCAGGGGAGCGCGGCGGGGCGAGGAAGGGCGGGGCGCGGAGCAGGGATGGCGCGGGGGGGGTGGAGTGCTGCGCCATGCGCGTCAGCCGCCCTCTCTGCGCCCTCAGCTGCCGCGTGGCTGCATGCTGCCGCCCATTCGCCGCCATACACCGCCCCTAACCGCTCTGCTCATCGCAGCACCTTCGGTGCTGCGCTGTGGTTGCTCGAGGCATGCGGGCGAGTGTCGCGTTGACACTCGTGCATCCGACGGCTGATGGTGCAAGCACCGTGCATCCGACGGCTGTAGCAGACGCGGTTTTTGCGGCGCCTAGACACGCGGGGAACGAGAGGAGCGAACCGTTGAGGGCAGGGGGAAAGGGAAAGCGGGAATGGGGAAAGGAATCGAGGAAGGCGATGGGAGATTCGCGAGACCATGGAGCAGCGCGAAGAGTGAACGATAAGCGTGAAGCGCTGCGCAGAACGTGCGGGGGCGATAATAAGTGGCCGGGAACTGGGGATTCCATGCAATGCCGCCTTGCTGCTGTGAGCCGTGCGCGTCGTGCGAGGCGTGCGAAGCACAAGTGTTGAGGAACGGTCACAGAAGATAGACTGGAATGCGGAAGTGTGTTTGAATCGAGATCTTGACAGTGACTGATAGGCTGGGGTTTGGGAATCCCTCACGAAACAATCCTCCATTTCGCATCAAGAACACCACAGGATTTTTGTGGGCAACGAGACATGAGCGAATCTCGAATGAGTTCTCGCAGATTTGCCCAATCCGGTCGCAATCAGGTTCTACATGTTACAGAGAAACCCACCAGCTTAGGAGGGAACATTGGCGAAAGACACATGCGCCAACCAGAGAGCAATTCATATACATTCCACTGGTTACTAGTGACCAACAAAGTAGCAGCAGTACTCTTGGCACAACGAAAACCACCCTCTATGGCGTTGTTCCGAGTTCGACCGTACCCGTGCCGCATAACTTCGATGTAAACTGGTAAGCCACGCAACGTTCTGGACAGCTGATTGCCTTTAGTAGTATTCGCTCTGCGTCAGTCGCATTCCGCGGGATTGCCCATTTCATGCCAGTTAGGGTTTCTGAAGCTGATTGTAGCGGAATTCCCACTTTCTTCGTTCATGCCTAACTAATTTCCATTGTAGCATCGACTTTATCGTCGCAGGACTCTCGTGGAAGAACAGTCGGTCGCGCTGTGGCCTTCGAGAGAATGACGACGATCTATAGTAATGCCTTCACCATCTGCGGGATTTTTGCCGTCATATCCGGCCTGCCTTCGCGGACCGCTGTGACGGCGGCATGGTCAGGTACGCATTCGAACCATGGCTTGTACTACGCGTATCAAGGCATGGCGAGTTACGCGCTATAAAGCACTGTCACATACGCGTCAAGGCATGGCGATGTACGCGTTATAAGGCATAATGTCGCGTTTCGAGATACGCACTACTGGCATGGTCAGCTTCGCATCTACAAGCTAAAATAAGACCAGCTGATAGATCACAGGCGCCCAAAGATAGATTTGCGACTTCTGTTTGCAACAGCTTCAGCTGGCAGGCACTCCCCTCACTTCCCCAGCCCCACTACCCCCCACCCTCTCATCCTCCTCCTCCCCTCGTTACAGTCACAGAGCACCACCCAGCATCAGTGGGGCATCACACAGCAGGCTTGGGACACCACCATCAGTATCACGCCCGCACGGCAATTCTTTCAGCCAAGATCCGTCTCAAGACAGTCACATCCAGTACAGCCGCCCCAACTACCGCTACAGTCAAGACGAACTTGACTTACTGCGTCGGGTTGAGTCGGTGCGGCAGCAGCGAGAGGGGGATAGTCAGCCCCCGCCGCTCTTCACTGCTGTCGCTGCCGCTGCTGCGTCAGGCGAATCCTTTGTCCTCGACTTCCCTCTCAAACGGGCTGCTGCTACAACTGCTGCTGCAGCTGGTTTCACAACTGCTGCTGCTACAACCGGAGATGCCAGCCTGAAAGCCCAGAGGAGGAGGAGGAGGCAGCGAACAGTGATCATCGGACCAGTGTCCCTGCAATGGGTCGCTGCAGCCGCAGGGTACCAGCCGTCTCCGAAGAGCCCGAAAGGCCCCTGCACGCTGCTCAAGAGAGTGTTCATAGTGAGAGTCAAGTCGGCTGCTGACTTCGCCGCCAGGGCCTCTCTCCCGCGCACCACCACCGTCATTCTCTATTTACAGAAAGATTTGACACTGCCTCAAGGGGTTCTGTTCCAGCGGCAGCAGTCTTGCACGATACTCATGTCGGCAAAATGGCCCGGTTACACGCTGACGGGTGGTAACCCTATGTATCCGGTGTTGCGCGTGTGGAACACTAGTAACGTGGTGTCGCTGAACGTGAACCATCGCCTGCCGATGACGGAGAGCAGCCCCGAGTGCACCACCGTGCCCGAGCTCGGCAAGGGCGTCACCTGCCCGCCATCTCCATCCATCGGTCCTACGGCGTGCAGATTGGCAAGGTGAGTCCCTTTTTTCTGTTTGCTTGTTGCGCTCCTTTCGCATGCCGTCCGTGTCCTCGCTGTGCCGCACCGCCACCCTAGAATGTCACCTGTTCTCCTTGCTCTCACTCTAATGAGACGTCGTTCACACGTTCTTCCCTTCTCCACCCCCTCCCATCTTGTCTCCTCCACGGGGCACATGAGAGGACGTGGTGGTGAGGCGATCCAATGGACCAGCATCAATTCGTCCCACCCCACATGTTGTCGAGCCCCATCGGCGGAGAGGTCGTGCCACGCGGAGCATTGGCATGCTGCTGGGCTCATTCACGGAGTAGTTTATCTCTCACACGCCTTCAAGCTCGCTCGTGCCTCCACGCTCCTCTCTACGCCATGTACCCCTCTCCCTCGCAGGGCAACGTTTTTGGCCGAGTGGACGCGGTTTGCAGCATGAGCGTGCGCCTGGACTCACTCACGGTCACCGGAGTGGCGTCCTTCAACAGGTCGCCTGGAGTGATCCGCGTGGCCCTCAGTGGGTATGGCCCAGGACTGCTCAAATCCAACATTGTGATTTCCAACAATGAGGTGTACGGTGAGTGGGTTTCCCTGAGTCAACCGAAGTCAACCAGAGTCAATGAGAGTCAATGAGAGTCAACGAGTGTCGGCGAGAGTCAATGAGAGTCAATGAGAGTCAATGAGAGTCAATGAGTGTCAATGAGTGTCAACGAGAATGAAGCTTAACGAGGTTTATGGTGAGTGGGATATTTCCTTGAGCCAAGGAGGTTCAACAAGAACCAGTGAGGTATATGGTGAGTGGGAGTGAGCTCTTTCTCAACAGCATATGCTGCTCCTTCCTTGCCCTTTTATCCCCACTCCCCTCTCCAACCTTATGTATCCTTACTCCCCCTTTGCCATCTTACCTTCACTCTCCCATTTGCCTTTTTATACCAGTACCCCCTTATCCCCACTCTCCCTATTGCCCTCTTAACCTCACTCGCCCCCTTGCCCCCTCATCCCCACTGGCCCTCATCCCCACTGGCCCTCATCCCCACTGCCCCCGTGTTCCCGCCCTCCTGCCCCTACATTGTTACTCCCTTTCAGGCGTGAGCACCCCCACCATCTTGCACAGGGGAGCAGTGCGCATAGCAGTCACCAGCATGTGCATGCATGACCAAATCTTTACGGGAATTCATTACAGCGGTGACAGCATGCTCACTTGCATCAACTCCGATCGAGCTCGACATTTCCTCTCCTCACCCCTCCTCCCTCTCCTTCTTGTGCCCTACCCCCCCATTGCCCCCTCTTCTCGTTCCGCCCTCTTTCCGTTGCCCGCATGGGTGACCACTCTGACTGTCGGGCACAGGGGAGCGGTCGCTATCACTGAGAGCAACAGCTACATCCATGACTATATTTTCGCTGAGCTCTGGTGCGGTGCATTACAGCAGTGACTGCAGCCTTGTTTTCTTTTGTGGGAGGAACCTGACCAGGGATCATATGCCAGTACGGATTTACCACTGATGCACTGACTGAACTTTCCTTATTTCGTACTCTTTCCCCTAATTGCAGGGGTGAACACTCCGATCCTCTTGCACAAGGGAGCAGTTGGTGTTACTGTCACGAACAACTACGTGCACGGCTACATCTTCGATGGGATCAAGTCGGCGCCGACGTGCATTACAGCTTTGCCTGCATGCTCTCGCGCATCAACTCCAACCTTGTGGTCTCCTCTGGAAGGAATCTCAACGGCGATCACGACTCGGCGGGGATCTACTTCTACACGCACTAGTTCAGCCCGGGCAACTCGGCGCTGTGCAACTACGTGTTCAACGGCGACCACTACTGTCGAACTTATATGCTATAGTCTTTCTAGGCTGTAGTGGGGTAAACACTATGGGGTACAGCTTTCTAGGGTTTCATATTTGTACCCAACTCATTTCCTAGTTCATCATTCTCGTTCTAACTTTCACATGGTATAGAGCAGGTTCCCTAGTGGGAACGCTTCCTAGGGCCCACCACGATCAACTTTTTTTTTTTTCTCCTGCCCGGAGCGCGCTTCACTCCTGCCCGAGTCGCGCCCCGTGTGCCCTCCCTCCCGTCGCGTCCCTAGCCCCTAGCGGCCCGACGCGCCCTCTTACGGCCCCTCGCGGCCCCTTTCACGGCCCTTCGCGGCCCCTTACGGCCCCTCGTGCCGCCCCTCGCGGCCCCTTCGCGGCCCGACGCCGCCCTTCACGGCCCCGTCGCCGCCCTTCGCGGCCTCTCGCGGCCCCGTCTCGGCCCCGTCGCCGCCCTTCACGGCCCCTCACGGCCCCTTACGGCCCCTCGCGCCGCCCTCTAGCGGCCCCGCCGCCGCCCCTCAGCGGCCCCGTCGCTGCCCTACCGCGGCCCCGTCGCCGCCCTCTAGCGGCCCCGCCGCCGCCCTTCAGCGGCCCCGTCGCCGCCCTACCGCGGCCCCGTCGCCGCCCTCCAGCGGCCCCGTCGCCGCCCTCCAGCGGCCCCGTCGCCGCCCTCTAGCGGCCCCGCCGCCGCCCTTCAGCGGCCCCGTCGCCGCCCTCCAGCGGCCCCGTCGCCGCCCTCTAGCGGCCCCGCCGCCGCCCTTCAGCGGCCCCGTCGCCGCCCTACACCGGCCCTGCTGCCGCCGTCGCTGAGCCACCGCAGCTGCAGCCGAGCCGCCGAGCCGCCACCGAGCCGCCAAGCAGCCGCCGAGCCGCAGCTGAGCCGCCGCCGAGCCGCCGAGCCGCCGCCGAGCCGCCGCCGAGCCGCCGAGCCGCTGCTGAGCCGCCGAACCGCCGCCGCCGCAGCTGCGGCCCTGTTCCTGCCGGCGCGCCCCGGCCCTCCCCACTCGGACTGGTGAGAGCTTTCCCGAGCAGCGTCTCTGCCACTGCACTACCTCTAGCCTGCCGCTCTCACCCCTAGACTGCTGCTGTCATGGCTACCCCCAGTGTCCTTACCTTTGATGCTGAGGGTCGGGCTGTTGACTTTGAGGTCTGGGTCGATGACTTGCAGCTTTTCCTACAGTGCGATAGGGCAGACGGTCTCTCCCTTTTCGATCTCACGTCTGGTGCCTCTCCTGCCCCGTCTGCTGATGCTGATGCCACTGTTCGCTCACAGTGGGCCACGCGCGATGCTGCTGCTCGCCTTGCTGTGCGCCGCCACTTACCGACCGCTGAGCGCGCGCATTTTAGTCAGTACAAGAGTGCTAAGACCTTGTACGACGCTGTCGTTGCACGCTACTCTTCCCCTGCCACTGCTGCCCTTAGCCGCCTCATTCTGCCGTACCTCTTCCCTGACCTCGCCGCTTTTCCCACGGTCGCTGACCTCATTACGCACCTTCGCACTAGTGACATTCGCTACCGCGCTGCGCTTCCTGCTGAGTTCTGCGCCAAGAACCCCCCCCCTATGTACATCACCCTCTACTACATAGTCACCCGGCTCCCTGACACCCTTCGCTCGGTCAGGGACCACTTCCTCTCTGTTTGCCCCACCACCCTCACCGTTGACCTCCTCGAGGAGCGCCTCCTAGCGGCAGAAAAGAGTATAGTCGCTGTCGGAGCCTCTCGTGGTGACCCTCGCACCCCTGTCTTTGAGGGGTGCTCCCCCTCCCCCCTCTTGCCCTCTGTTGCCTCTGCTGCTGCGGCCGACCTCGTTGGTCTTGAGTCGGTCGGCGCGGCGTCTGCCCCTAGCGGGAGACGCCGCTCAGGCAAGGGCAAGGGGGGCAAGGGCGCTGGAGGGGCTGGCGGGGGCGGTGGAGGCGGCGGTGGAGGCGGCGGAGGGGGTGGGGGTGGCGGTGGGGGTGGTGGCGGGAGTGGGGGCGCTAGTGGCGGCAGTGGAGGCGGAGGAGGCGGCGGTGGTGGCGGTGCGAGCGGAGGTGGTGGAGGTGGAGGCGGTGGTGGAGGTAGCGGGGCGGCGGTGGAGCTGGTCGGGGCGGCTCTTCGCAGAGGGTCGGCTCCGGCGGTGGTCAGCGCCAGCAGCAGCAGCAGCAGCGCACTCGTGAGACCCCTTCCCCCCAGCAGCTTCGTGAGTGGTACACTGCTCGTCAGCGGGGTGGGGGTGCTGGCCCCTGTACCTACGTTCTGCGTACAGACGACCGCGCGGGTGAGCAGTGTGGGGGTCTGCACTCCACCCAGCGCTTCTTCGGCCGCCTGACGGACGCTTGGCGTCATCAGTTCCCCGACGCTACTGAGATCCCTCGCTGGGGCGAGCTGTCTAGGGCGGGTGTTGCGATCTTTGATCTTGATTATGATGCTATTCTTGCTGCAATGTATTCTGTGACTATTAGTGATGAGGGTGACTGTTACCGGTGTTTTCCGCCTGACCCGGGCATTGAGACTGCTGCTCTAGGTGCTGGTGAGGCTGCTGCTCTAGGTGCTAGTGAGTCTGCTGCCCCAGGTGCTGGTGAGTCTGCGCTCTCAGGTACCGCGTCGGCCCCGGCCACCCACACTTTCACCCTTGACTCGGGTGCTTCCCGCTCCTTCTTTCGAGACCGCACCACGCTTACGCCGCTTAGTCGGCCAGTGGCAGTCTCCCTGGCAGACCCCTCTGGGGGTCCTGTTCTTGCCCACTTCTCCACTGTCTTACCGTGTCCGGCGGCCCCTTCTGGCACCCTGTCGGGTCTTTACCTCCCCTCGTTTTCTACGAACTTGGTGAGTGGTGCTGACCTGCAGGATGGAGGGGTTCACCAGTTCGCTCCTGCGAGTCAGCGAGTGACCCACTGTACCTGTGCTCGGACGGGCCGTCACTTGGCCACGTTTACCCGTCAGCCGGGGTCGAGCCTATACACACTGACTACTGAGTCTCCTCCGCTCGCTGAGTCTGCTCAGGTAGCCGCGTCGGGTCAGGTGTTTGCTGCGGCGTCCAGGTCTGGTCCTGAGTCTGCCCCCTGCTCGTGTCGTCTCCTGTCTCACCAGACTCTCCTCTGGCACCACCGCCTTGGTCACCCCTCCCTGCCTCGTCTTCGAGGCATGGCCTCCCGTTACCTTGTCTCTGGTCTCCCCCGGTCCCTCCCTCCTCTTCCTCCGAAGCCTGCCCCCACCTGCGTTCCCTGCGTCGAGGGGCGGCAGCGCGCTGCTCCTCACTCCTCCGAGTTTCCTCCGACAGAGGCTCCGCTGCAGACGCTTCACATGGACGTGTGGGGCCCAGCCTGCGTCCGTGGACAGGGTCACGAGCGTTACTTTCTGCTGGTGGTTGACGACTACTCGCGTTACACTGCAGTCTTCCCCTTGCGCAGCAAGGGTGAGGTCACTGAGGTGTTGATCGCCTGGATCCGCGCAGCTCGTCTCCAGCTCAGAGAGAGTTTCGGCTCGGACTTTCCTGTTCTGCGTCTGCACTCTGACACAGGCGGAGAGTTCTCCACTGACCTTCTGCGAGCCTTCTGTCGTGCACGAGGCATCCGCCAGACCTTCACGCTTCCGGACTCTCTGCAGCAAAATGGGATTGCTGAGCGCCGCATTGGCATGGTCATGGACGTCGCTCGTACGTCCATGGTCCATGCGGCTGCCCCCCATTTTCTGTGGCCGTTTGCGGTTCGGTACGCGGCGCATCAGATCAACCTTCAGCCCCGGGTCTCCATGCCGGAGACCTCCCCTGCTTTGCTGT